AATCAAATGTCAAGTGACATATTTCATTGGGCAAATCTGCTGTACATGACCTCTTTAAAATGTCAAAAAGCAAAGATTTCACTTGGAGGACTAAGGTGCACTTGATCCAAACCAGGGTCCTTTCCGTTGCCTCGTATGTAAGTAAAAGCTGGGCAGTGAATAAGGAAACCCAGACAAGAACTGATGCATATGAATTATGGTGTTGGTGGACAGCATGGAAAGTACTATGGACTTCCAGAAGGACACATCTGACTTGGGAGAAGAACTGCCAAAATGCACCTTAGAAGTGAGGTGGCAAGACTGAACACGGCATCAGGAGAGATCAGTCCCCAGAGAAGGACATCGTGGTTGTTGGAGGACCAGTAATAAAAGAGGAAGACCCTCAAGGAGATGGACTGACAGAGGGGCTGCAAGTGTGCCTCAAGCACAGCCATGTAAGTATGGGGACAGACTGGGCAGTGTTTTCTTCTGCGTGTGTGGGAAACCCCTCAGTGGCTTCTGACAGCATTCACAGCTGGGGAGTCGCTTACTGATTCACGGCAAGCTCGTGTGTGTCCGAGTAAAACTGCGCTCCTTAGCATTTAATGTGGCTGACTTGTTAGAAGTGGAGCATCACCTCTTGGCTCACGGAATCTCTTGGCCCACCCTTTAAGTTAGCAATCTAGCACCTTAACTAATTGGACCACCCTACCCAGGGACTTGGATCTGCCTTCAAGGAAACCCAATCAATACAACTATTATTCAAATTTATGCATCAACCACAAAAGTCAGTGGTGACAAAATTGAAGAATCCTACCATTGACTTCAGTCAGAAATTGATCAATCATGCAATTCAAGATGCACTGTTATTGCTAATTGGAAGGCAAAGTTGGAAACAAAGAGGAAAGAACAGTAGTTGGGAAATAGGGACTTGCTGCTGGACATGAAGCTGGAGATTGAATGAGAGAATTGGCCTCTGGGCAGATTGGACACTTAACCAGCAGAGGCCACACACATCTCACTGTAGACAGACATGTACTGACTGTGTTACTCTGGGACTTAGGACCACCCTCCTCACTGTGGTAGCCACCAGCCACATGTGGCTATTGGTATTCACATGCAATTAAAGTAAGAATTCAAATAAAATTAGAATTTAATTTTGTTTACAATGTTAATAAAATAAAACTGTCCATTCCTTGTTGAGTTCGCTATATTCTGAGTACACCGTGGACACGGACAGCTCGGCTAGACGACAGTGCCATCACTGCAGAAAGACTGTTTTGCATGTTCACACACAAGGTGACCTGCAGACGTTGACCCTGGTTGGTAGATTGGACTCTCACTATGCCTAGGATTTTTGCCATCCTCTGTCAACTCCCACTTCGTCTCTCACCGCCGTTGTGTCCTGGATGCAGTCAAGGGATTCTGTGTCCACATGCCTAGGTGGCCACTTATCAGAGAAATGACTTTGGGGCAAGTTAGCATATCTGCCTCAGCCTCAGTTTTCACCCCTAAAAGAATAAAGCTAACAAGCCCGTCCTGTAACGTTCTTGTGAGAATGACAGGAGACAAGGCATATGGACTTCTGGGATTGACCCTAGTAAATTCTCAGTCACTTCGTCTGGTTGTTGCCATCAGTACGGTCATTCTCACTCTCTTCTATAATTGTCAGGGGGCTGAGAGCGTGTTCTCTGGAGGCATCACTGTGTGCATTTTAAACAAGCAGAGGACCGGCAGAAGGTACAGAAGAGTATGAGCCAGTTTTGCATCGTGCCAGACCACTTGTTGGACACTGTGCAATTTACACATTTCATTTGCTAAACATCGATCGTTTACTGTATGCCGAGACTTTGTTGAGCCCATTGTTCCGTTAAAAAGGAGCGGGGCTGTGGCTGAGCCTTTCAGTGCTAAGACACCTAGCCTCTGTCCTCCAGGTGCGGCTGGTGCAGCAGAGGGAAGGAGAAGAGGCTGGCCACTAAGAGGAGCACACACACCCCTGTGTCCCAACGGCCGCAGCAGAAGGAGCAGAGCGATCGAGGGACTCACGGATAGGTAGAGGCCCAGAGAAGGAAAGGCTTATATCCAGTTGTGGGACAGGAGGAAGGTGATGATAGCTGAGTGGGTGCGGCAGAAACCGTGGTGGCAGACTCATTAAGTGTTGGGCAGCCATCAGCAGCTTGAAACCACTACCCACCCTGTGCGAAAAAGGCAGGCTGTTTATTCCCGGAAAGAGTTATGGTCTCAGCAGCTCACAGGGGCAGTTCTACCCTGTCCTAGAGGGTGGCTCTGAGTCAGCACCGACTCAATGGCAGTGAATTGCGTTGAGGAGCCCTGTGGCATAGTGGTTACAAGTTGGGCTGCTAAACTCTTAAGGTCATCAGTTCAAAATCACCGGCTGCTCCAAGGGAGAAAGATGAGGCTTTCTCCTCCCGTAAAGAGTTAGTCTTCGAAACCCACAGTGAGTTCCACCTGCCCTGAAGTCAGACTCACTGACTCAATGGCACTGAGAGAGATGGGGTGTGATGGGGCTTGCTTCTCCCAGAAAGAGGGAGCAGGCGTGCTGCAGGTGAGAGGAAAGCAGCCTACCGTGAGGGTCCCAGGCAGGCTGGTTTGATTGCCAGGCCCAGGTGTTGACTTAATGGAGTCCCCAGTGGGGAGCTGTGGGAGGTTGTACACTTTCTGCTTGGTCCCACCAAAGCTTTGAAAGGGAAAAATGCATTCCTCCGGAGGGGGAGGAGGAGGAGGGAGGGCAGTGTTTGATCTTATAAAGTAACCGAGTTTGTCAAATGGCATTTCTTCCGCCTAGAAAAGAACATGGTTAAGTACACAAGGCATACCACAGTTGTGCGGCTGTGTACCGGCACACACGTTGCCATGTTTCACTCAGCACCCCCCCACGCCCCCCCCCCTGTCTCTGTGGCAGAGACACATGCCGGTGGGGTCCCCCTGACCCGGCGGGGTGGTTGGAGGCGAGCACAATAGCGACTTGGGGAGGGAGGGGGGGCTCTTTTCTTTTTGAAAGTAGGAAACGGAGGTAGAAGGGAACACTGTGATCTTCGCTTTCTTCCGTCACCTCACGCCTTTCAATAGATTTTCAAAAGGAGTGTTGGGTGATTGCTGCCAGGCATGCACATACCAACGTTCTTCCAGTCTTCGTACGACCTTTCGTATTACCCACCTTAAACCGTAAGATGCTGACTTTATTTCCTTTCTCTGGACTCCACTCAGGCCCATGAAAGGGCCTAGCGGGAAAGAGCTCGTGGACCCACTCGGGAACACATGAACATAAGACTGGCCAGTAGCTCTCTCCTCGGCCCAGAAGCCTCCCAACCATCTGCAGCTGTTGGGTTTCCAGTTGATAGTTACGCCTTGGGTTCTCTGCTTTTTCAACACCTGCGTGATTTTCCGTGTGACGCCGATTTTGAGATGAGATGTTTTCTGACCTTCCAGGGGTGCCTTTCTTGTGGTCTTGTGCCCTTCCTGAAAAGTTATGAGTTGGAGGTAAATCTTTATACCCAGGGTATTTTGGAATCAAGGCCAAGAGCTGTTTGGGATGGTTGCAGTCAGAGTATTAGCCCTGCCCAGGTGCGACCAATCTTTCAGAGTCCCTGGGCCCCCTCTCTGCAGTTCAGAGGCCAAGGTCGGGCACCGGTGTTCTCCATAAAGCTTACTTACACTGTAAACCCAAACTCACTCCTAGCCAGAGTGACCATATAGGGCAGGGCAGGGCAGAGATGCCCCGTAAGGTTTGGAAGACTGTCAGGATTCTGGAAGTAAAATGCCCATCTTTCTTGCATGGAGCGGCAGGTATGTTTGAACTCCGACCTACTGAGCACTTAACCACGGTGCCACTAGGTGACCCTCCTTGGGGCTGACAGCCCAAGCCAATGGAAACAACTGCGGGGAATACTTGAGACAGCCGGTCCTGGCCTCGAACCTTCCAGCCCCGCCAGGGATGAGAAGAGCTCTGTGCTCATCCCCTCTCTCAGGCTCTTAGGGAAGCCTGGTGTTACGACTGGCTAAGTGTTCAGCTGCTGATGGAAAGGATGGCAATGTGAATTCACCCCCACTCCCACCTCCCCACCCCCACCCCCACCCCTTGATCCTGTGGGAGAAAAAGGCTGGTGATTGGCTTGAGTAAAGACCACAGCCTAGGAAACCCTTTGGAGGGCAGTTCTCCTCTGGCGTGGAATCAACCAGCAGGCGGCTCTCGGCAGCAGGATGCTGTGCTGTCTGCTGATGTCTTCCTCTAGATACCATCTTGCCGTCCCAGGTAGGGCTCTGCCGGTCGTCATCTAAACAGCTCTGGTTTCCAAGCTATAAACACTGCCACCGGGGCAGACTGACGGGCAGTTGAGAAGAGATGTTTGTAGCTCGCTCTTCTGAGCTTACAAGAGCTGGCACCACACGGACTCCAAGGATCTGGTGTCCACTGGAGAGGCCAGCTGGTCAGTGAGCTGCTCAGCCATCCCGCACCCATGAGCGCAGGCAAGGCGCCTCGGGGTGAGCTTTCCTAGGGGGCTCAGCCAGTTTGACGGGTTCGTAGTAGGGCCCAAAGAAGCCTGCCTGGCCCAGGTCTCTCCTGGGCTTGACTCGTGAAGATGAGGTTTAGAAACATATTTCTCCACTTAGTTACATGTATTTCTCCATCTTTAGTTCAAACTATGTACATGCATGCAAAGCATCGCCAATAGAAGTGATTCTGAGAATGGTGGCCAAGGGAGAAGCAGCTCAATGAAGAGGGGAAAAATGGGGTGGGGGGTGGGAGGGTGCAGTTTCTGGACTGTGCTAAATTTAGGCCCCATCCTGAAACAGACCTTGAAATAACCTAGGTTTCTGAGGAGGCCAGACCATTGTTACAAAAGCCACATGACTGTGGGTCCTGTCATTCTGAAGGACTTTATGGGAGAGTGGCAGGCGGCTGGGCTTCTCGGGAACACCTGAGGAGGGAGCTTTGAAGTCTGCAGGCACAGGGCAGATTCGTGGATCCCCTTGACCTGAGCTGCTTTCTGTTGCTGCAGGACTTGGCCCTGGAAGAGGCTGTTTTGGAGGAGCTGACACAGAAGGTAGCCCAAGAACACAAAGCCCACAGGTAAGGGAGAGGGGCCGGCAGAGAGGTCCCGGGTTGCTCAGCCCACAGAGAGCCACAGGGCGGCTAGCATTGGCCTTCCTTCCCACCCTCTGCCCTGTGCCGGCAGAAGTCTGCTCCTTCCAGTGCCTGACAGAGCTCCCGACTTCTGTTCTGAGAGGTGTATGTGAGTTTGAAACTGGGCTTTCCTCCTCCCCCCCTCCGTCCACCTTCCTCCTCCCCGCCTCCGTCCACCTTCCTCCTCTTCTTTATGTCTTCATCCCACCCCCACCCCAATTTTTCTTTTAACGTCAGAAAGCCAAGGCAGATGTGGATTTGACCAGAATTCCTCTCTGGTTTTTCAAAAAAACTGTCACCAAATCTGGGAAGCCTAGGACTCCCCGAGGTCAAAGTAAGACCTGCAGCTCTACTTAGGGTGGGAGGGCGAAGGGCAGAGCCACCTGCCCACAGAGCCTCATCACCCATCAGCAGGGCACAGGAAGAGAGCGCCCACTCCGGGAAGCACGGAGAGAGTGGGTGATGTCTGGGACCAGTGCGAGACAGATCTCCCTGCCCGCTCCCCGCAGAGGCCCTGTGCAGCCGAGCTCCCTTAGCTTGGCCACTTGGCTTTCAAAGTCGAACTTTTCATTTTTCTCTTCCCTCCCTCCCTCCCTCTCCACCTTCTTCCTTCCTTCTGCCTCTTCTCTCCCTGTTGTTTGTTTTAAAAGTGGAGATTCCCCCCGGGTGGGAGGAGACTAACTTCAGAAAGTAGGCAGCATTGCTTTCAAGGAGGCTGGAACGGTGATTGAGTGGTTCTGGGGCTGTGACTCTGAAAGTACTTTACTTTTCCCCTCCTCTTCTCTGTTGAGGACAAGGCTACCGGGGATGATGGTCATGAATTACTAAGTAACTCATATGTTAGGGTACAAAAGAGACCACATCTCAAATAGGGTTTAAGGTGAACATTTAAGCCTTAAAAGGGACAGAGACAAAAGACAAAGCCATGTCATCCGGATCAGGGAGGCCATTAGCCTCCTGATCACTGGAATCCTAGGTGTGGTGAAGTAAGGCACACAACAAAGGAAACAGTCACAAGTTCATGGCTGGTGGCTGATCGATACATACCAGTCATAGGTGGGCATACAGGAGCAGAAACAGGGCCTTCGAGCCAGGGACTCAGGGCACAGCTGATAGGGCGTGATTCATGACTAAGTGACCCCTGTACTGTCCCCAGATGGCAACGTCCATTAAATACACACAGGCAAACCCTGCCCTAGGCTAGCTAGAGAGGAGTAGAGATCATCTACTTTCTAATGTACCCTATCTGAGGGCAAGAGTATCTGTATCCTTGGTTAAAGATCAGAGAGAATTCAAGGAGGCTTAATCGATGTGGGGACTCAGCAAATGGACGTGGGGCTATCACCGCCATCCACAGCCGTTTTGCAAACTGGGCTGCTCAGAATTTAAGGTCTAATACATGCACCACACTCTCACAGCCGGGTAATGATTGCTCTTCCCAGAAACCAGGCACTAGCACAGCTCTGGAATTTGCCAGCAAGAGGATGGGATCTCCCGTTCACTTGGTTGCCCATAACCGTTTCCTTTTTCGATGTTATGTTGATTTCAGTGGCATCCTGCCAGCGGAAGCCGAACTTATGTACATCAATGAAGTGGAACGTTTGGATGGGTTTGGACAGGAAAGCTTCCCTGTGAAGGTAACCTACTCGGGCCCTAAACAAAACAAAACGGGCCACCCTTGAGCCAATTCCATCTCCTGTTGCTATGTGTCCAGTGGCCCGTGTCAGAGTAGAACTGCTACCTAGCGTGGTCGGCGGCTGAGCTCTTTCAGTAAGCTAGGTGCCAGGCCTTTCTTTCAGTACACCTGCAGGTAGATTTGAACTTTCTACCTTTTGGTTGCTACCAGGCACCATTTATGCCGCTGAAGGACTCCCAGGAGGGTTGAGGCTTTTGAAGGGGTGGTGGCTTAAGAAAGCAGCGTTGTTAGCAGTGGACCAGAGTGGCTTTGTGATCTGCTTTCGGATCACTGCATGGCCTTTGTTGGTGAGTCCACTGTCCTTACATAAAGTGAGGACTTTTATTTTTGTCAGAAATATGTCTGGAAGTTTTCTTTGGTCTTCAGCATATTCTCATTTTGAGGACACCGTTCTAAGCTCCACACGCCAGCCCATCCTGTGTGTTGAAGGTGTCGAGGTACCCACCCAGCCTGGCCGAGGGACAAGTAGCTGGTGTCATGTGCAGTTGTCTCCCTCATGATTGTGCTCTCTTGTGGCCTCCTGGAACTGTCGGAGGTGAACGAAGCAGCTCCTGCTTACAACCACAGTCAACCACAGTCGGTTTCCCCAGCTCTGCAGAGGCCTCCGTTGAGGGTTCCCAGCCCCTCGGGTGTTTTCTGGAAAGCCGTGCCTGGGAACCACTTATAGCACATCATGTCCTTTGCCACAAATACACCTCCCGAAGTGGGCGTGGTTGGGGGCTTGTGTGGGGTGCGGGGGGCGTGTGTCATGGTGCAGGGTCATTTATCGGCTGAGCCCACATCCAAACACATTTTCCTCTCTCTGCTGACCAACTTGACAGAAAAAAATGGAGTTTTAGCTCAATCCTAAAGCAACTGGCACATCTCAGCAATTTGGGAGACGCCTGCAATTTCAGCACAAACAATCCGCTCCAAACTGGCTCCCCTGACTGGTTTATAAGTCTTCTGTTCCCCTTTGGTTGCACGCTTGCAATTTGCCTTAATGAGAACTGCCCATGTGCATCAAGTAGAATCGGGCAGGGTGGCCGCAGCTTGCGAAAAGGGCTAAATGACTCTTTTTTTAGGTTTGTTTAATTTTCTTTTGCTTCTCTAATGGCTGCCCTTCCTAGGGTTGCAATCCATTTTCCCTGCAATCATGCCTTATGAAGCCATCTGCACCCCACTTACATTTCAGCAGCCCATATATAGTCAGGGTATTTGGGTCATTGAGAAAGCAGGGTAAACTTTCGTCCACTTCTAGAAAACTGACTGTCCAGGCCCTGAAAGCGGGGAGTTGAGTGGCCGTGAGCATGCACTTGTTTGTGTTTTGTGACTTATACTGAGCTTTGGGGAGTAGGGGTTGGCTGAGACCATGCTGAAAACCACTGTGTGTTTTCCAGACTGCCCTTTGGAGGGCTAGGCTCTCGGGGGACCCTGTGGCCACCACTGAGTGGGCAGACAGGCATTGCTGACTCACTTAGAGCAGGGCAAGAGTATTTAGATGCATGCGTCTCGTCTCCCTCCCCCCGCCCCCCCATTGTTTTCCCTCCATCCCTCACATATCTGCTCATGACTAAGTGACCACCTACAGACCTCACAATTCCTGCCAAGCCCAGGGCAGCAGTGCTGTTGGGGGCGGTGATGTGGTCAGCCCCGAACCCAGTGCAAGAATGCCCAGAAAAGGTATCCTCCCAGGAACGAGAGCAGTGAGGTCATGCCTCTGGGTTTGACAGGACCTCGTTGACCAAATAAAGTCACAAGTGTGACAGGGACGTGTGCTAGGGAAGAGCGCGTGTATTTCATGTGGGCTCTTCCACGAGTGGCTCCTGAGGAATGTTCCAGGTTCCCAAGTCTGCCTCCCTTCCTCCCCACACACCCAGGTGTGGCTGCTACCCAAGCCGTTCCTGCAGTACCCGAGCACAAGGACCGGGTGGGTGCTTCTAGCAGGGGGAGGCCAGTCAAACCACTATCAAATCCTCCGTTGCCACTCAGTCAATTTCCACTCCTGTCCATTCCGTGGGTGTCTGAGTAGAACTCTGCGTCATAGGGGTTCCAGGGGCTGGGTTTTTGTGAATGGTTCGCCAGGCTTCTCCTCTGAGTGGGCTCAAATCACCAGCCTTTTAGGTAGTAGTTGAGTGTGATAACCCCTTACACCACCTGGGACTCCAAGTTGAACTTGAAACGTACTATCATTGAGTCAGTTAGGGCTCCTAGTGACCCTGTAGAGGCCAGGAGATAAGAAAGTGAGAGACCAAGCCCAGAAGATCCTGCATCTGACAGAGTGGTAGAATCTCTTTCAAAGAATGGGCAGCCGAAACAGGATGTCGCAGGTGGAGAACATGCCCCACGATTGAGAAGCATGAGGTTCTAAACCAGTGGTTCTCAGCCTTCCTCGTGCCGTGACCCTTTAATAAAGTCCCTCATGTTGTGTTGACCCCCCCCCAACCATAAAATAATTTTCGCTGCTACTGCATAACTAATTTTGCTACTGTTAAGAATCGGGCGAGCCCTGTGAAAGGATTGTTTGACCTCCAAAGGGGTCTTGACCCACAGGTTGAGAATCGCAGTTGTAAACAGAAAGGGGGCAAACACAGTGAGGCAGGCTGTCTCACCCAGACGTCTCTGACCTAGGGCACGGAAGCACAGGGGCCAGCCTCTGCTGTTGTCTCTTTCACACAGGCCCCAAAGAATACCTCTCCAAAGTATGCATATGTGCAACTTAGATTAAAAGGACAAACACCAAGTTACACATGCTATTAACATGAAAAAGAAAATCGAAACAGATCAAGTACTACACCTCCTAACGTTCTCTCTTACACAAGAAATATGACAAATTGAAAAAAAAGAAAATAGAAAAAAAAACTGCACCCCTGCGATGCACAGAGAGGTCCCTGGGTGGCACAGACAGTTCAGAGCTCGCCTTCTAACTAGAAGAGTGGGACTTGAGTCCACCTATGGGTGCCTCAGAAGAAAGGCCTGGCGATTGGCTCCTAAAATATGACCGGTATTAACCCCAGGGGAGCCCAAATCTACTCTGATGCACACAGGGCCACCATGAGTCAGGGCGGCCTTGCCAGTGACTGTGTGGGCAGGATGTGCAGTGGGGTGAGCCCTGTAGGAAGTGCTCCCCACACACATGGTTGCCTTGTTGCCAGGAGGCTGTCCGTGAGTCATTCCAGCAGTGGGCAGGAAAGGGAGCCCATGGGTGGGCTGTGGCCCAAGGGTGTGGTTCTCAAAAGCCTTCTGGGGGTCAGTTTTCACCACAAATCTCTTCTATTCCTCTTAATACAGGACAATCACGGAAACGGCGTGCACCTGGGTATTTTCTTTATGGGGATCTTCGTGAGGAGCCGAATTGGAAGACAAGCAGTCACATACAGGTAGTCTTTGGGATCTATATTGTTTCCTCTCCTCTTCCTCCTTTTCTTCTTAAAGGGCATTAAGAAACTTGACTGGATACTGACGTTACCTGAATGAATGAAGAGCTAAACTATGGGTCAGAATTGAGCATAAGTCAGGTGACTGAATGAAGGCTGAATGAAGACCTAGAATTGGAGATGGGCCTCCGCCGGAATCATCCACGACCTCTGTGAAATCCAAATGGACTTCTCCTTGTTGTCCTGCACCCTCTGCCCGCCCGCATGGGCTGGAAGAGCACCAACTCACTTTTATATTAACCAAGAAGGTGGTTTTAAAGAAGCCATTGTATCATTGCTGTGGTAACTTAAAGGACCTTGGTGCTCTTTGTCATTTTGACATGTTAACCCTCCTTACCAGTTCACATGAGTAGAGCCAGAATTGGACCCCTACCTCCACCTCTCCCCCAGGTTACATGACCATGAACTTGCTCTGTGCTGGTGCCCATAGATTTCATCATACTCTCAACATACTTGCACCACCATGGGGTCGTTTCTGATGAATAGCCACCCTAGAAGACAGGACCGAACTGGCCCTGTGGGTTTCCAAGGCTCTGGCTCTTTGTGGGAGTAGAAAGCTTTGTCTCATCCAAAGAGCGCTAGTGGTTTCAAACTGCTGACTTTTACGTTGATAGCCCAACTTGTAACCACTAAACTGTCATTGACCCTCCCCAAAAACCTCATGCTAGTCTACCAGGACAACAGGGCCCATGATTTGTCGGGAGGACAGTTTTACTCCGTGTGTGCATTTGATTGGCAGATGATCATAGATAGCTCTCAGAAGCCAAGCACAGCCCTCCTCTCAAGTTGATTTTGGCCCGCGTGCCCTCTCTGGATCAGCAGTTACTGTTAGTCCCCGAGAGGCTGTTATCTGAACTAAAGCCTCCTGATTGGCCTTTGTTTCCCCCAGCACCCACCCCACCGTTCCTTTAGGATTTACTCTCTGTCTTTAAATAGAAGCACGGTTCAAGTGTGAGTGGATGGCGAGGTCTTTGGAGCTAAACAATAAACTTTCAAATTTATTCATAATCAATTTTATATAACTACAACAAATTGTGCATCAACTGGGCAAAGCAGACAAATATGTGGAGAGCCTTAACTGTAAATTTTTATTCTCAATCAAAGCTGTGCAGGCCTTCTTTTGTCCCATATGTTTCTCTATAGCTAAATTGATGCTTTGGTTTTTCCTTTCCTGGAAGGGAAAAGTCGACCATTGTGATGCGATAAAAGGAGTGAGATATTTCACATGACAGGTGTAAGACACTACTTTTACCGTTTCTTCAGGAAGTACTTCTAGGCTTAGACTTCCTTGGATTTATCTTGAAAACCCCACTAGATGGAAATGCCCTTCCTCCATATTATCATGTGGAAACCTGGTGGATTATGACTCCAAGGTCAACAGTTTGAAATCACTAGCCACTCTCCAGAAGAAAGATGATGCTTTCCACTCCCATAAAGAGTTACAGTTTTGGAAACCCTCAGGGGGCAGTTCTATCCTGCCCTGTAGGGTCAATATGAGTCAGAATCAACTCAATGGCAGTGAGTTTTGTTGAAATGGTTAAGCAACAGTTTGGTTATTAACTGAAAGGTAAGTGGTTTAGAACCACACAGTGGCCCTGTAAGGAGCTCTGGTGGAGCACGGCTTATGCGTTGGGCTGCTAACCACAGAGTCAGAGGTTCAAAATCACTGGTCACTTCAGGAGAATGACGGGGCTTTCTACTTCCATCAAGAGTTAGTCTCAGAAACTCACAGAGCAGTTTGGACCCTGTCCTCTAGGGTCACTGTGAGTCGGCATTAACTCAATGGCAATGAGTTGAATTTGAGTGACCTAGCAGGAGAAAGATTACAGCCCAGAGGACCTTATGAGACATCTCTACCCTGCCACATGGGCTCGATTTGGGTGGAAATTGACTCAGTAGCACCCAGCGACAGCATGGTATACTGCTACTTCTGGCATGACAAGCCTATGATGGGACAAGGCTTGTGTCCAGAGTAGTAGCAGTCGCTTTGAAAGAATGAGGCCAGAGGAAACCAAATCTCTCTTATCTTCAGAGATGTTCACTGAGGAGCATGTAGCTGTGAGTACACCTTGATACAATCAGGTCGGCGTGTAAGTCCAGCAGCAAGCTGTGCCGAGAAGATATACTTACACGCAATTGGTTCACAGCCCTCACAAATGAACGCAGCTATGTCATGGACTCATTTGTGCCCCAATTACTTCTCTTCCAAAGTAGGAGCAAAAATACCCACCTTTTCTCCCTTAGAGAGCTGACAAAAGAATCATATTCTATGCAGATGACAGGCAACATTATGATCATTAGCTCTTTCAGTAAACACTTATTGAGTGTCTGCTAGGTGACAGGCATTTGACTTAGTCGGGTGTACCAAGATGAAGAATCCTTGTATGTATGGGGCAAGCGGTCCTCGGGTGGCTCTGCTTTTGTCTAATTAGGGTTCCAGTTATAGAAATAAAGAATTGCAGTCCAGTGTGGCAAGAGGGAGAGTGCTACGCACATGTTATGGCTCAGAGAGGAAGTTACTTCTCCTGGCAGATGGGCAAGGGGGATGAGGAATGGCTTCCTAGGAAGGATGACTCCTGAGTCTTGCCGGGGAAACAGGTGTTCACCAGGCAGAGGCTGGTGGAGGTACAATGGGCCACAGCACAGCAGAGTACAGAAGCCGTGGGCGGGGGCAGGCCACGATATAAGGTGACAGATAAAGCCTTGAAGCAAACCCATTGCTGTTGAGACCACTCTGACTCGTAGCAACCCTACCAGACTGAGTAAGTAGTGCAGCCCCATAGAGTTTTGATAGGCTGTAATCTTGATTGAAGCCGGTTGCCACCTCTTTCTCCCACCCAGCATCTGTTGGATTTGAACTGCCAGCCTGTGGGGGAGCAACTGAGTTTGTAACCACAGCTCCTCCAGGACAATACCAGAGGAAAGGGTAGGGAGTAGTCCATGGAAAAGCAGTTGACATCAAGTCAATCGAACTTTTGGTAACTTCGTCTGTGTCTGAGTAGCATGGTTCTCTATGAAGCCTCCAATGGCCAATGATTTCTGCCATAAATGACCAAGCTTTTTCCCAAGGTGCATCTGGGCATTTCAAACCTCCAGCCTTCTGGCTAGAAACTGAATATGTCGGTCGTTTGTACCACCCCAGGGCTCCAGGTTACAGTAAAAGTTCAGATTTGGGCTTCAAGTTGAACGAGAGCAGTAGCTTCGCTTCACTTATCTGGTGGCTGTCTCATAATATCTTATTTTGGATACGGTTTCCATGAGGGTCAGGAAAGAAATTGGTTTCTCTTATGGTTTGCTTGTTTAGGTGCCGACAATGTAAACACCTTCACTGCCCTCTAGGCCGTGAAGCTAAGTCAGCACCACACATTGCAACTAGGCTTTTTCGTCCTATATCCCTGTGTAAATAGGACTTTAAATAATACCCCTCCCCATCATTAAAAAAGCAGGACATGCCTTGTCAACTTGGAAATATGACAGATAATAGCAACAAAAGCCCCTTGCAAGTTTTCTCATAGCTAATCGCAAAGGAAACTATCCTTGCCGAAGGGTGATATTTTACAAAGGATTTTGAGGTCTTTGAGTGGATACGTGCTTCATTTTCTTGACTTTGCTGTTTTGAAAGGGGGTGGGGAAATACATGTGGCTTTAAAAAATGATGGTTGAATCAAAACGTATAAAGCTCCATTTGACCTAATCAGATTCCCCGCCCCCCCACTGGAGCCTTAATGGTGAGAAATGCCTTTGGGTAAATGCCTGCCGTTTCTTTTGGCCAGGTGGAATGATATCGCGAGTATCACTCACAACAAGTCCACCATTCTCGTGGAAATCCCCAACAAAGAAGAGACCAGCCTCTTTCACACGGTGAGCAAGTGGGCCTGGCAGAGACAGCACAGCAGGCAGCTCACTGCCCCACGTTCATCTCCCAGTGTCTGTCCTTCAGAGGAAGGACATTTCTTGAGAAAGCAGACATTCTGAAGAGTCTTCGCGGTGCTTGCCCCTGCTGCCTATCACTGGCCTGGGCGGTTTCTGTGGCAGGTGGAGTACTTGGCAGACTGCCGAGGCTCAGCGTTCCCTCCTCCTGCTTCATGTAGTCTGCACTGTCATTCCAGCCCTGGTAAAACCATTCTGGGTTCGACTGAACGGCATCTTCTTTCCCCTGCTCGCGTGGAGTTGCTGGCGTACCAGCCCAGCCCAGGGCAGATATGAAGTTAGCTAAGAGACCGGCCTTCTGTGGAGGGCTTTCTTGAAACTGACACTGTTCGTTCACCTGGCTGTCATCATTGAAAAATGCCAGGACCCTGTCCCCACGCTGGGCCTTGATTCACTTGTAAATCAAGCGTTTGAGGTGGAGTTCATGTCATTGACAGTGGTTCATGGTGCAATCCTAACGCCGTGGGCTTCGAGGGTTCTTGAGCAAACCACAGTGGCCAGCCACTTTGGAGGACTTTGCGGCCTGGCTGAACAGCAGCGTTGGCGGGCCAGCCCCACCTGGTATTCTGTCTGGAGTGGAGGAAAGGAGGGAGGGAGGGAGGGGGTGGCCCTGTGCAGGATAATCCGACCGAAATGCTCACACTGTTGTGCACATGTTTATTTTCACCCCGTCTCTTCTTTTCCAAGGATGACATCGAAAACGCCAAATACATTTCACGACTGTTTACGCTACGGCACAAGTTTTACAAACAAAACAAAATCTGCACCGAGTAAGTAGACCCTGCGCTGGCCCGCAGTATTTACCCCGGGTCCCTGCGCCCTCCCGTGTGGTAGGGACGCAGGGCGGGTGGCTCTGGTCGTTCGCTCTTGTCCCCTCCTTCCTTTTAGAAGCTGAGAAGGGGAAGCCAGGCAGGGGTGCAGGGACTTATTTAACGAGGAACTTGTCCAACGTGGTACGTGTGCCCCGAGAGAAGTCATTCTGCAAATTGACTCGGCAAGTGGGACCTGGACTAGCGCCGACCCGCATTAGCCCCTCGCCGGCCCTCTGCTCTCGGCGTGGAGTCGCCGAGCAGCCCCCAATTGGCCGGGGCGCCCGGGTGTCAGACGCGGAGCGTGTTCAGAAGCGTGCAGCCGAGAGGCGGGCCGACTTGAAAGCGAAGGCGCCTGTCATCCCCGGTCGCTTCGCTGACACAGTTGGCTCGCCCCGCGTGTGCTCCTGGGTCATGTCAGCCGACTGTCAATGAGAGGCGGGGTAATTAGAGGAAGAATCGGAAGCCACTAATGGATGTCACCGATCCGAGTACATACACATGTAGATATTATTTAATTTGGAAGTTACAGATGATAAAAGAGGAGTCTGATGAGAGCCAAGTTCGGCGTGCCCTGACCTCTGCCACAGCGTGCACCGGCCTTCCCTCGGTCGCCTTCAAAAGGCGTTCCTTGGCAGAGCACATCCCACTGTTGGGAAGCCCAAGGTGTTTAATTTTGTTTCAAAGAGCTGCTGGGATGTAAATGCAAAAGCATGGCTGCTCTCCCACCCCCCAGCCTCCCAGAGGAGACATCCCAGCACCGGTCGAGGAGCTGCGTGCAGCAGCCCCTGCTGCCAGGGCGAGGCCGCTTTAGAACTGGGTCATCGGGTCAACGCGGGCCTTTCTCTCCACGCGGGAGGCTTTTGCAAACCACTCACTGCAAATTGGGGCCTAACAGTAGATCTGATCGTATTGGGCCTGCCAGCAAGGTTTGTAGATGTTGCGCCGAGGAATGACTGATCAGCGTGTGCCAGATTAAGCAGACCCCTCTTCCTGACAGAGACAGTATCTAGACACGCACACACCCTTTTGAGCATGTTCCCTTCTGTGCACGTCTACTAGGCTCTTGCTTTTGACTGGGGTGGCCGTTGGATAGGGACTGGAATTCCACAGGTGACTTCTGTAGCGGGAGAGAGGGGGGAGTTGGACCAGCCATGAGCAATGGATTCCCAGCAGCCTTCTAGTAATCTTACTCTGAACTCGACTGAACACTGGTATTTTTATTTGTGACCTCCCCCCCTTTCTAATATTAATGAGCATCGTGTAATAGAAATTCTGTTTTTACTTTCTTCTTTTGCAATAATTGTTCCTTTCTCTTAACTGTGGGGACTTTCTAACCTCTTAGTTGATAAGTGCTAGGACTCCCTTTCTGAAACCTACACACGGAGTACACAACTCTTTTTAATATATTTAAATGATGGAAAATTTTTAAAAGAGGAGGAAAATAAAATGCACGCACACAAATACACACCAGTAGACGCCACATGCACCTTAAAGGCTTGGCACATTTTCCAGTCAGTATCAGCACAGGCGACTTTGTTGCCCTGGTTGGGTGTCTTCAAGTTCATTCCACTTACATGCATACCAGAGTGACACCAGCCTCTCAGCTGTTGCTGTGCTTGACCCCACGGTAGCCTCTGTGTTAGGCCATCCTGTCCAGGGCTTCCTCAGTTTTGGTGATGCTCTATTTTACCAATCCTGGTGCCCCTCTCCAGGGACCAAGCCCTCTGGATAACATGTCATACATACTATGGACTACGTCTTAACAGCTTGGCTTCTAAGAAGCATTCTGGCTGTGCTTATACCTCTTCTAAGACAGATGTGCTCATTCTTCTAGCAACCCATGATAAAGTTATTTATTTAGTGTATTCTTTTTTATAAATCATTTTATTAGGGGCTCTTAGAGCTCTTATAACAATCTATACATAAAGCATATTTGTACATATGTTGCCATCATCATTTAAAAAATATTTTCTTTGTACTTGAGTCCTTGGTATCAGCTCCTCGTTTTTCCCTCCCTCCCCTCCCACCCTTGATACATACCTGAGCCCTTGATAAATTATAAATTATTTTTTCATAATAATACACCATATGTTGTCTCCCTTCACCCATGTTTCTGTCATTTTTTCCCCCGAGGGGAGGTGTTAGTATGTTGATCATTTCGATTGGTCCCCCCTTTCTCCCCCCACCTTTCCCCTACACTCTTGGTATTGCTACTCCTATTATTGTTCCTGAGGGGTTTATCTGTCCTGGATTCTGTGTGTCGAGAGCTCTTATCTGTACCAGTGTACATGCTGGATTTGTAAGGTCGACCTGGGGTCATGATAGTGGGGGAAGAAACCTTGAAGAACTAGAGGAAGGTATGTTTCGTTGGTGCTATACTACACCCTGGCTCAGCCCAGGATATATTTAATATTTTTCACCAACACTATAGTCAAACGTATCAGTTCTTCCATTTTTCTTTTTCATTGTCCATGTTTGGCATGCATATGAGATAAGTGAAAAAGACATGACTTGGGCCAGGCACACCTTAGTTTTCCAATTGACATGCTTTTGAACACTTTAAAGAGACCTTTCATAGCAGATTTGCCTTATGCATGATGTCATTCCATCTCTTGACTGCTGCTTTCATGGACATTGATTTTGGATCTAAGTAAAATTAAATACTGGACAACTTCAATCTCTTCTCTGGTTATTATGATGATGCCATTGATTCCGTTGTGAGGATTTTTTTTTTAAACAAGGAGTTGAAATCCATACCGAAGGCATTTATCAACTACTAGGTTATATATATGTATATGTGTGTGCATATATGTATGTGTATGTGCACATATATGTGTATGTATATACATACACAGTACTACAGGGCAGCATTCTTTATTCAGTAGTTGTTTAGTTCAAAGATAACTTTCTCTTCAAAACTGAAAACTTACTTCCAAGCAATAAATTCAGGGTCTCCACCTGTCTCTGTGTCCAGTATGTGTGAAATCCAGATCTCTACATTAAAAAAAAAAAAATTCCATGTTGGTTCTTAGACCACAAATTGTCTGATCAGATAAATATTTTATTTAATAAAAGATAATATCTTAATAATTTCATCTTAATACATTTTTAACCAGTTTTATTAGCAATTAATATCTCTATATAACACAATTCAGTAGTCCAACCGTATCAACAAGAGTTGTATAATAATTACCACAATCTCTTAATATCTTTATTAAAATATCTTAATAAAGTGTACTGATATGATTATCTTCAGAAACACCGTATCTATTTTCAGTCTGTTTTTTGACTTGTGGCATTTAAAAATATTTTTTCCTTTTCAAAAAACAAAGAAATGTTTTATATATATAAAATGGATAACTAAAATGCATACAATGATGGTGATTTTATTGAGTCATGCTTATTTTCCTCTTGTCTTTGTTTAGATATAACCCTCATTCTTTTAACACTACTTTGTAAATCTTACTATAAAAGTATTATATGCACCAGATATTTTAAAAAGAATCCCAAAAGAGATATTAAAATAATTCTTAACTTCAGTTCCAGAAATGAAGAGTCTATTTTGTGGATTTTGGTCTAAGTCTTACCCAGCTGGTCTTTTTTGCTCTCCTCTCCTGTTTATCCATCTTTGTTATTTATACCTAGTAGGTAATACTGACCATCTTCATTTTTTCACCCTTTCATGTAGACAATCAAATTCTCCACCCCCCATCAGACGCCAGCCCACCTGGAGCCGGTCCTCCCTGGTATGTATGTAATCTTTAGTGATCAAGTAGGATGACCACTGGGATTCCTTAGAGTGCTTTTATTATGAATTTGAGAGGGAAAGTGACGCGATCCAGTGAAAGCTCAGAAATGCACCAGTCTGTCCGTCAAGTGTGGTGTGTATCCACACTGTCCCCCATGTCCCTGCCCATGTGCCCACCTCTGTAAGTGAAGCTCAGGGTCGGCTCCTGAGGGAGCCCGGCCACCGCGTTCCAGCTGACAAGGCTGCATTCCCTCAGCAGTCAGCCAGTTGTTGCTCATTTGTTGCTGTATAACTGGTTGTTAGCTACAGCTGGTTCTTACAAATAGATAGCTCGTTGGTTATAAGTGCCACAAATTGTTTTCTATTCATTGCCTCGAGTTCAGCTCCTGGTGACTCCACATATGTCCACGATGCTCCATAGCTTGTTCAGTGCTTGATTTTTTTCTGAAAGGAATCTCTTGGTGTTTCTTCTGAAGCTCCCCCTGGGTCAACTTGAACCACTAACCTTGCAGTTAACTTCATGCCATGAGCACAGACTAGTCAACTAGTCCCCAGGTGCTTTTCTAATAAGCAAGGATTTGCTTGAGTCAAGGTAGACTATTCAGTGAGGAGGACTGATTGCACACCTTTAATTCTCAGACTTAAATTAGCCAAGAGAACTGGAATTGACCCGTGGTGTTACTTAACATTGAGGGGTTTTTGTTGTTTGTTGTTTTTTTATTGCTCACTTCATCAGGTGGAAACACAGCTCTGACTTCAGTACATATGTTTTGTCTTAGGCAATGTTTTATTTTTCTATTCATTCGGGGATGATATAAGATACTGGAGAATTAGTCTCCTTTGGAGTTTTTTTTCTCTTTTTTGGGCCTGTTTAAGTAACAATTATGCTTTAGATGATGATTTTTCAAGGAAAAAAGAAAAACCTATTAACCACGTCACCCTTATTTTTCTAGATGAGCTATTCCATCAGGCTCACAGGAGAATAGCATTGTAATTGCCTTTGTAAGCAATGCCTACACTGGAGTGCACTTTTAACCTGCCTTTTAGAAGGAAGGTTTTGAGGAGATGTTTAGTTTTTTTCTGAACATGATCTCGTAACCTGTAGACTTGTGCCGCCATGCCATCACATAGTAATTCCCGAGTCTCGGTGTGAACGCCTTTATCTCGGTGTTGGCCCCACGTGGGCCTCGGAGATCTAGACGTAACCGGCTTTTGCTCTGGAGCCCCAGCGCACTTGTTCACGGCACTGGTTTCCTTATTCGTCATACAGGGAAGAGGCACTTTCTTTTGTGCTTCCCTTTCTTCTTTCAAGTCCACAGACCCAATTAGTGAGATGGCTTTCCATTTGTCGTCCATTGAGCACTGCAGGAGGCACAGTGGCTTAAGGTGATCTTGGGATCTGGTCCTTGGTCATAATTATCTAGAGAGGACGCAGGAGTTTTCCTTTTTTGTTTGGATGAAGACAATCTGCAGGAAGCCAGCTCCAGGGCTTCTCCCTCCCCTGCCCCTGTAAACCACCGCGCCAAGGGCTGCTTGGGTTGAGGGAAAGCAAGAAACGCAGGATGCCCCGTCCCCTTGGCTTCCTTCATGATAACCGGGGCTACCAGCTGCAATGTTTCTCTTGCCATTCTGGTGCTTCCAACGCCGTCTCCAGCTTGGTCTCTGTTAGAGGATCTAGAAAGAAATGGAATATGCAACCATTAAAAGACATTTGAAGGACTGACTACCAGTGCCCTTTGCCTGAATACTTAGAGTCACCTCTGTTTGCTTTTAAATGAGATGCTGGCAAGGGGGTCTGCCTTTGCCACGTGTTTCTGTTCTCCGCTCTCTGAAGACTCCGCTGTCAATCTGCTGCCCTTCCGTGGAAAACCGAGTTGGGTTACTTCTTCCAAGAAGAGAGCATATAGTTGACAGGAGAATAACATTGTAGTACCATTGTCTCTCAAAAATAAGCCAAAGGATATGTGAGAATATTTAAGAAAACCCATGTAACACCTGTTGTTTTCCTCGGTTTATCCCTATGACAGCCTTGATTTGCTCTTTGTATATTCAGACATCTTATTTGCAGTAAAGGAAATGGTTGTTCTTGTGTACTGCTGAGTTTATTCTGACTTTGAGTGGTGCTGCTGGCACAGGGGCTACACGTGGGGTACTACCCATTCTGTGTGGGAAAGATGAGGCTTTCTATTCTCATAAAGAGTTAACAATCTTGAAAATCCACAGGGGCAGTGCTACCCTGCCTTCTAGGAATGCCATGAGGTAGAATCCACGTGAGGGCAGCAAGTACATGAGTATGAACATATAAGTCAAATGGATCAGGTAGTAGAAGCAGGGAGGACCAGGGGTAGGGAGCTGCCTTTTATTGACGACGACGACAACAACAACAACAACAAGACAGACCTAATGAGGTTAAGTGACTGACTCTAGATCTCATTAGCAAGTGATCTAAGCATACTCTTTTTTTCCCTGTTGACTTACAAAACACTTAATCTAAGTATTGCTACTGCTTTTTCTCTCCAAGTTAGTTGTACTCTCTCTTTTTAGCTTGCACTGACGGACTCAAGAACTACACACCCATTGTTGTAGGTGACACTTGAGATGTTTATGTAAGCCTGCATCTGAGCCCACCTTAACGCCAGCCCGGTTCTCAAGTGCTTAATGAGGGGTCGGAGGCACAACGGAGGGACCCAAATTTGAATAGGCGACCGTGTACATTCATAATTTCTTACGTTAGACATAATAATGTACCTGCTCTGAGTCTGTCTTTCAAAGAATGCATAAAGAGCATTGCAAATAGGTAGTAAATGCAGTGAAACCTGGAACCTGTGTAAGGCGGAAACCGATAAGGGAAGGTAAACTCCAATATCTTCCACCAAGAGAGGGTGATAGGAAGGGTAGGGCTGCACCTGTCAGAGGCAGAGTGCTCGTGAGACTTGAACATGCAGGCAGGTCTGTGGTGGGCCAGTTGCTGTGGGTTTCACGGTCGCTGCATCTAGCCTACTGGTTGTCATCACCTTCTGACCTTGAATTGCCTTATTTCTTCCTCCTCGTTTCTCTTACCTCCAACATGGTGACGAGATGGGGACATGGGTGAGGAGGAAAAGAAGTCAGAGGGTTGAGCATAATGGGGGGCTGCCGCATGGATCTGGGTGACGGGATTGGGCTGATTCCCCCGTGCACCAACGGTGCTTCCGCTCAGGCTGCCCCCACCCTGCTGTGCTCTCTGTTTCAGCCCAGGCAGCAGCCGTACATCTTGCCGCCCATGCACGTCCAGTGTGGCGAGCACTACTTGGAGACCCACACGTCACAAGGTAACTCCGCCTTCCCTGTCCCTTCAGGTTGACAAAGATGGGGGCTTGGGGGGTGGTGATCACAAAGGCTTTTTTCAGAGAGAGGACAGTGCAGAACTTTGCCATCCTCTGAAGGGCAGCATCCAGGAGCTTCACTTTGTGGAAGGCATAGAATACATTCGCCCTGCGAAGAACAGGGGGTCCCGGGATTACTACGAAGGGAGGCGGGGCCGAGGCAGAGAGCAGGCATTGGTGCTCCTCCCATTTGGGTGTGGGCTCACAGAGAGAGGATGCCAGCAGTGCCCAGCTGAGTGCCTGCACCTGCAGAGCCCATGTCAGGCTGCTTGTCACACTGTCAGGAGAGGACAGGCATCCAGAGACATCATCTCAATCCCTAACCACAGCTTTTGTGTTCCACGGAGAGTTCTTCCGTTAGTCACATGCAGAAGGTGTGGAAAAGCCCATTTCAGTAACCGTAACCTTGTAACTAAGTAGTAACAAGAAACTTTTCCAGAGCTCTTTGTGGCAGCCTCTGTTCTGAGCCTGTGCTAAGTACCTTCTCATTTAATCCTTAAAATACCATATATACTTGCATATAAGCCGACCTGAATATCACCCAAGGCACCTAATTTTACCACAAAAACTGCATTAAAATGTGCTGAAAAACTCGGCTTACGTACGAGTATGTACGGTGAACTCAAAGAGAAAGGAACCACTCTTACTTCCATCTCACAGCTAGATTGGGCTACGGATGGTGGGCTTCGCATCCGGAAAGCAGTATTTTGACTCTGACGCCAGCAGCTTAATCACCGCACACACTGTAATGTGTCTTGGATCTGCACTCTGTTCAATGTTTCTGGGTGGCCGTCGCTGGGCCGGTTCTCATCTCCCTGTGCCACGCAGGTGGGAAAATTCAAACGAAGACAACCCAGGTGCTCTCATTGCGTTGAGCAGTGCTTTTCCCAAGCAGGCGAATGAAGTTACCCCGGGTCTGTGAGACGGCACGCAAACTCACTAGAAAACTCAACCCAGCCCACTGCCATCGAGTTGATTTCGACTCATCCTGGCCCATCCCCAGCTAGGGGTTCCAAGACTGAATCTTCTAGAGACAATCTTTTCTTTCTCCCAAGAGTGGGTGATGGGTTTGAACTGCTGACCTTGTGGTTAGCAGTCCAGTACCCTAACCCTCCAGGTGAATAGATGCCACACATTTGCCCCCTTGTTCTCCTGGCTTTTCCTGCTGTCTCATCTCGCTGAGGTTCATGTTCACACCCTTCTCTTCCAGCATCGGAGGGGTTTCAGTCACCCCATCTCTGTTTCCCTGCTTTCTGGCTTTGGCCTGGCAAGAGATGGCCTTTAGAGGCGTCTGTGGGTGCGCACGTAGGGGTATATATGTTGATTGAAGGCATGCTGGGCATCCAGATTGGCCTGACTTTAGAAATCTGACTTTTGTCTCCCTAGGTATCCATTAAAGTGTTACTAACGTTCGATTGAATTGACCGAATCATGAAATAAACCTGGAGGAGGGTTTCGGGCAAGGGCCAAAAGAACTCCCGATTCAGTCTTGTTTTGCCACCAGTGGTTGCTAATCAAGGAGCCCTAGTGGCTACTAGCCACAAGGTCAGCAGTTCAAAACCCAACAGCTGCGTTGCGGGAGAAAGATGAGTCTTTTAAAGATTCATAGTCTTGGAGACCCACCAGGGCAGTTCTACCCTGTTCTACACGGTCACTATGAGTCAAAATCGACTCTGGCAGTGAGGGGTTTTTTGTTTGTTTGATTTTTATTTACTGCTAATCAGGAGCTAGCTGGCTATGCTACAGGGCTGGTTGCATTCCTGTACTGTGGCTTATGAGCACTCCACCGCCTGCCAAACAAAGGGGACTTTTCTAGTTGGGAGTCAGAAAGAGCAGCTCCAGGTAGTGCCATGTCTGTTGCGCTTGTTGAATGCCTCGACTTCCTGACTCGGAAGTCCTATGGCTGCTCAACCTTCAGGTCGGCAGTTTGAAACCCCCAGCTACTCCTTAGGAGAAAGAAGAGGCTTTCTGCTTCAGGAAACAGTCTTGGAAACCCACAGGGGCAGTTCTACCCTGTCTTTTATAGGAGTGCTGTCAGTTGGAATGGACTCAATGGCAGTGAGTTTGAGAGAGGGTTTTTGTTTTTTCCCAGAGTTTCTGAGCTCTGGGGGTAGATGTGCTCCTTGGGAGAGTCATTTTCACTTGGTTTCAAAGCCCATAGCGAATGGAGTATGTACCCAGGCCATAGCTGCCCCAAACAGGGATCCTATTCTTTGCTTAGGTTGGTTCCTGCCCACCCCCACCACCCCTGCCCCCTTCACCGTTCTAAGTATTCTTTTAGACTATGCCTATGTGCTGGCATATTATCCAAGAAGGCATCCGTTTTTCAGTTTAATAAGTGGATGGAGACTGAGGGATTTTTACATTTACTGATTTATTTAAATTTAAAGTTCCCCCGCCCCCTGAATGAAAGGCTGAACCCGAGCAGTATGATGACCTGAAGGTTCACATGCCTTTGTTTGACTCCCTGTAGACAGCATTTTCCACGGGAACGAAGAAGCCTTGTATTGCAACTCTCACAATAGCCTGGACTTGAATTACCTGAACGGCACCATCACCAATGGCAGCGTGTGCAGTGTCCACAGTGTGAACTCCCTCAACTGCTCGCAAAGCTTCATACAGGCCTCTCCCATGTCCTCCAACCTCAGCATCCCGGGGAGTGACATCATGCGGGCTGACTACATCCCCAGCCACCGGCACAGTGCAATCATTGTCCCCTCCTACAGGCCCACCCCCGACTACGATACTGTCATGCGACAGAAGAAGCGGGGTGTCGTGCACCCAGACAGTCAGAGCCAGTCTCTGCGGAACCTCAACATCATTAACACCCACGCCTACAACCAGCCCGAGGAGCTGGTGTACAGCCAGCCCGAGATGCGGGAGAGACACCCCTACACGGTCCCTTATGGGCTCCAGGGGGGCTACAGTAACAAACTGGTCAGTCCGTCCGACCACCTAAGTCCAAAGAACCCCATGGTGCCCAGCAAGCCCGGGGCAAGTGCCATCTCGCACACAGTGAGCACCCCGGAGCTGGCCAACATGCAGCTCCAGGGCGGCCATCCCTACAGTGCAGCGCACATGCTCAAAAACTATCTCTTCAGGCCCCCACCCCCGTACCCGCTGCCCCGGCCGGCCACCAGCACGCCAGACCTCGCCAGCCACCGCCACAAGTACGTGAGCGGCAGCAGCCCGGACCTGGTGACGCGTAAGGTGCAGCTCTCGGTGAAGACCTTTCAGGAGGACAGCTCGCCGGTGGTGCACCAGTCTCTGCAGGAGGTCAGCGAGCCCCTCACGGCCTCCAAGCACCACGGCGCCGCCAACAAGCGCCACAGCCTGGAGGTGATGAACAACATGGTGCGGGGCATGGAGGCCATGACGCTCAAGTCGCTCAACATCCCCATGGCCCGCCGCAGCACGCTGCGCGAGCCGGGGCCGCCCGCCGAGCCGCCCGGGAGCCACGAGGTGCCGCCGCTGCCCCAGTATCACCACCAGAAGACCTTCTCGGACGCTACGATGCTGATCCACAGCAGCGAGAGCGAGGAGGAAGAGGAGGCCCCGGCATCGGTGCTGCCCATCCCGGTGCTGCACGAGAAGATGGAGTACAGCGCCCAGCTGCAGGCGGCCCTGGCCCGCATCCCCAACAAGCCCCCGCCCGAGTACCCGGGCTCGAGGAAGAGCGTCAGCAACGGCGCGCTGAGGCCGGAGCAGGCCGGCCCGGCGGGGGGCGCGGCGCGGGCCCGGGTGCTCCGCCACGGCCCTGGGGCCAAGGCCAGCGCCGCCCGCGCGGACCCCCCGGCCGTGAACGGCGCCACCGCGCTCGGGCCCTCGCTCTCGGAGCCCGACCTGACCAGCGTGAAGGAGCGCGTCAAAAAGGAGCCGGTGAAGGAGCGGCCGGTGTCGGAAATGTTCTCCCTGGAGGACAGCATCATCGAGCGCGAGATGATGATCAGGGTAAGTGTCCTTCCTTCGTGGGGTCACCCGGAGAAGACGGGACAGCCGGGGGCGGCTCTCCCCCACACCCTAGACTGCCTCGTTCCTGTCCACGCCAAGGTCAAGGCGCGGAAACAGACAGACTGGGGGCACAGGAGAGGGTCCTCACCAGCTGACACAAGCTCGGTGTTGGGGATGCCAGGAATCGATTGGCACGAAAGGGGTGGCAGTCATCTGTTACGCCCAAATTTGTTTCTAGCCCTGACATGCTTCTTCCTCCCACCCACGGCCTCTATCGGGTGTGCTTGGTGCTCTAAGGAGCAGTGGGGCGGGGTGGGGGCGAGGGGTAGTGCTTACCACAGGTCTTTGCTGTTTTTTTCAGGGCTCACCTTCCCGATGGTGGGGGCCGCTTAGACCCGCAGCTTTCTGCCTCTTGGCAGTTTTTAGTTTTTCAATTAGATATCATCTTGGTTTCCTAGGCTGCTATAGCTAAGTGTTACAAACCGGGTCGTTTGAAACCAGGCGATGGGATTCTCTCACAGTGCACCAGGCCAGCTGTCTGATCTGGCTGGCAGCGGGGTGTGACCCCTTGCCAGTGTAGTCTACACCATGCTGCTTCCAGCTTTGCACTCAGACGTTCTTGAACACAAGTTTAACACGCATTCAAGAAAAGTATAGTCATTGGGTAGATTACTTGGAGTTTACCTTGAGTTTCAATTCCCCATCGAGCTGCTGCTTTTTTTTTTTTTCCTTTTTAAAATCATTTTATTGGGGCCTCGTACAACTCTTACCACAATCCGTGCATACACCATTGTGTCAAGCACATTTGTACACTTGCTGCCCTCATCATTCTCAAAACATTTTCTTTCTACCTGAGCCCTTGGTATCAGCTCCTCATTTTTACCCCTCCCTCCCTGCTCTCCCCTCCCTCACGAACCCTTGATAATGATTTATAATTGACTATTATTTTGTCATGTCTTACACTTTTCTGTTGTCCATCCCTCGGGGAAGGGGTTATATGTAGATCCTTGTGCTCGGTTCCCCTTATCTCCCCCCACCTTCCCCTTCCCCTCCCCTTCCTGGTATTGCTACTCTCATTATTGTTCCTGAGAGGTTTAATCTGTCCTGGATTCCCTGTGTTTCCAGTTCCTATCAGTACCAGTGTACACCCTCTGGTCTAGCCAGATTTCTAAGGTAGAATTGAGGTCGTGATAGTGGTGGGGGTGGGTTGGGGGGGTGGGTATTAAAGAACTAGAGGAAAGTTTCATGTTTCATTGTTGCTACACTGAACCCTGACTGGCTCGTCTCCTCCGAGACCCTTCTGTAAGCAGATGTCCAGTTACCTACAGATGGGCTTTGGGTCTCCACTCCACACTACCCCCTCATTCACAATGATATGTTTATTTTGTTCTTTGATGCCTGATACCTGATCCCGTCAACCACTCATGATCACACAGGCTGGTGTGCTTCTTCCTTTTGGTCTTTGCTGCTTCTCAGCTAGATGGCCGCTTGTTTATCTTCAAGGCTTCTATCAAACCCTCCATGTGGAATCGTTTGGGAAAGGATAGAAGTGGTCATAGCGGCATGACAGGATGAATGTAATCAATGCCACTGAATGGCATGTGTGAAAATTGTTGAATTGGCAGATGTTTGATAGCACGTTTTTCCTCCACCAAAAAAAAAAAATTCATGTGAATGCATGCACATATAACATGTGAAGATGCACCCTAAGATGCAGCATAAATAATAGGCAGCATAAAGCATTCTTTTAGAATAGGAATAATCCAGAGAACCTGCGGTCTTATCAGAGTCTCCACCCCCACCCCCCAATGCAGGTAATAGACACACACCTGGAGCAGTGAGTTATGAATGAAAGGATCCCGGCTTTGTACGTGCTACTTTAGAAAACATCACAACTCCATGGCTGTTGATGCTGGAGGTTTTCACATCCTGAAAGTGGATATGTGACTATTATAATGACGCAAGCCCAGAGTGGCATCTGTCCTTCACTCTGTCACATCTGTGCCTAAAGGTGCCCTGGTAGTGTGGTGGGTTACACGTTGGGCTGCTCACCACTAGGTCAGCAGTTCAAACCCACCAGCTGCTCCACAGAAGAAAGGTGAAACCTAAAGGGGCCATTCTGTTCTGTAGCACAGGATTCCAACTCTGAGTGGGAGTCAACTTGATGGCAGTGGGTGGGTTACACTGTAAGGTACCCCTCGAAAAACGCAACCCGTCACCATCGAGCCGATTCTGACTCTTGGCGGCCCTCTGTGCTGTGGAGTAGCGCTCCGCTCCTAAGGCTGTGATATTTATAGGAGCAGAGAGCGAGACCTTTGTTTTGTGGCACTGGTTAAGAAGGTTCACACCACCAATCCTGCGGTGACTAGCCAAGGCAAAAACACTCGTACCACCTGGGGACTGACTTTAAGACATCTAGAAGAGTTGTAACTTCAAACTTGCTTTGCTGGAGTTTCACTGGCCTCCCTTCATTGGGAAGACTTCCTAACCCACCACTGAGAACCTGCTTGGGAAGCCTGGTCAAGGGTGAGCATTTTAAGGAAGCCACATTCTTTCAGGGAGACCTCATAGTTGGGGCCGTAGATAAAGTAGTGCTAAGAATCTGGTGCGTGCAGAAACGTTTGCCATGTTCTGCAGCCTAAAGGGACACTGTTGAAGATGTGTTGGCCCCTCTGGCAAATAAAGGTTTTGGCTGGGGGGGTGGGACAGAATGTGGGGGCCGGCTGCCATTGGGGGGGGGAGCCTTCCAGCTTGGGAAAAAGTAACTCATTGATAATAAAGGTTTTTTTCCCCATAGTTCTTAGCCTTGGGTTTCTTAAAAGCAGCATCGTAGCAAGAACCTGCTACCTTCAAAGCTACTCCTGGCCTCTTCTCTCGCCATGAAGACACCCCACTGCATAGGACCCCCTGACAGGAGTCAGATGTGGAGAAGAGACGAGGCCAATTTACTTCTTCAGAGTTGTTTGTTTATTGGTTTCTCTCTGTGCGAAAAGCTGACAGGGTAAATGAGAAGGATCTAAGAGGAATGGTTTGGTTTATGGGGGAGGAGTGGAGCCTCAGGCCAGTTTTCACTGTCGTTATTCATGGCCCTCAAGGCAGCCCCATGTCCAGCAGACACACTCAAAAGCCACCTCCACGATTGGTCGCACATGGGGCCGTTGTGATCCACAGAACTTCCACTAACTTTCAGAAGTTGATTTAGAAGTAGGTTCACACCACACACTGTCTTCTGCTCTATCTTAGTCTGGGAGCTCTGCTGAAACCCATTCAGACCATTGCAGCCACAGGCCTCCTCTGACCGTGGTGACTGTAAATGAGGAGCGTTGACTGGGGCCGAACCCAGGCCTTCTCTTAATGCAGACCACACAGACTGCCGTCGAGGTGATTCCGACGCTGAGTGACCTACCGGGAGCGTGGGAGTGCCCGTGTGGCTTGCTGAGACCGTGCTCCTTCTGGGAGTAGAAAGCCACATCGTTCTTCCCCTGGAGCAGCTGGTAGTTCTAGCTGCTGACCTTGTAGTCAGCAGCCCCACGCATCACCACTACCCCCCACCCCCACCCCCACCCACCCCC